AAATCAACACGCATAAATCAAAGGCATTCCTGTATATCAGCGACAAATCCTCTGAAATGGAAATGAGGACAACCACTCCATTCACAATATCTTCAAAAAAAAATAAAATACTTGGGAATCAACCTAACAAAAGAGGTGAAAGACTTATACAATGAAAACTACAGAACCCTAAAGAGAGAAATAGAAGAAGATCTTAGAAGATGGAAAAATATACCCTGTTCATGGATAGGCAGAACTAACATCATCAAAATGGCAATATTACCAAAAGTTCTCTATAGGTTTAATGCAATGCCAATCAAAATCCCAACGGCATTTCTTGTAGAAATAGAGAAAGCAATCATGAAATTCATATGGAAAAATAAAAGACCCAGAATAGCAAAAACAATGCTAAGCAGGAAGTGTGAATCAGGCGGTATAGCGATACCAGACTTCAAACTATACTACAGAGCAATAGTAACAAAAACAGCATGGTACTGGTACCAAAACAGGCGGGTGGACCAATGGTACAGAATAGAGGACACAGAAACCAATCCACAAAACTACAACTATCTTATATTTGATAAAGGGTCTAAAAGCATGCAATGGAGGAAGGATAGCATCTTCAACAAATGGTGCTGGGAAAACTGGAAATCCATATGCAACAAAATGAAACTGAATCCCTTTCTCTCGCCATGCACAAAAGTGAATTCAAAATGGATCAAGGAGCTTGATATCAAATCAGAGACACGCCGTCTGATAGAAGAAAAAGTTGGCTACGATCTACATACTGTGGGGTCGGGCTCCAAATTCCTCAATAGGACACCCATAGCACAAAAGTTAATAACTAGAATCAACAAATGGGACTTACTCAAACTAAAAAGTTTTTTCTCAGCAAAAGATACAATAAGAGAGGTAAATAGAGAGCCTACATCCTGGGAACAAATCTTTACTCCTCACACTTCAGATAGAGCCCTAATATCCAGAGTATACAAAGAACTCAAAAAATTAGACAATAAGAGAACAAGCAACCCAATCAACAAATGGGCCAAGGACCTGAACAGACACTTCTCAGAGGAGGACATACAATCAATCAACAAGTACATGAAAAAATGCTCACCATCTCTAGCAGTCAGAGAAATGCAAATCAAAACCACCCTAAGATACCATCTCACTCCAGTTAGATTGGCAGCCATTATGAAGTCAAACAACAACAAGTGCTGGCGAGGATGTGGGGAAAAGGGTACACTTGTACATTGCTGGTGGGACTGCAAATTGGTGCAGCCAATTTGGAAAGCAGTATGGAGATTTCTTGGAAAGCTGGGAATGGAGCCACCATTTGACCCAGCTATTCCCCTTCTCGGTCTATTCCCTAAAGACCTAAAAAGAGCATGCTACAGGGACACTGCTACATCGATGTTCATAGCAGCACAATTCACAATAGCTAGACTGTGGAACCAACCTAGATGCCCTTCAATGGATGAATGGATAAAAAAAATGTGGCATTTATACACAATGGAGTATTACTCTGCATTAAAAAATGACAAAATCATAGAATTTGCAGGGAAATGGATGGCATTAGAGCAGATTATGCTAAGTGAAGCTAGCCAATCCCTAAAAAACAAATGCGAAATGTCTTCTTTGATATAAGGAGAGTAACTAAGAACAGAGTAGGGTCGAAGAGCATGAGAAGAAGATTAACATTAAACAGGGATGAGAGGTGGGAGGGAAAGGGAGAGAGAAGGGAAATTGCATGGAAATGGAAGGAGACCCTCAGAGTTATACAAAAGCACATACAAGAGGAAGTGAGGGGAAGGGGAAAAATAATACAAGGGGGACAAACGAATGTCAGTAGAGGGGGCAGAGAGAGAAGAGGGGAGGGGAGGGGAGGGGAGGGGAGGGGGGATAGTAGAGGATAGGAAAGGCAGCAGAATACAACAGACACTAGTATGGCAATATGTAAATCAATGGATGTGTAACTGATGTGATTCTGCAATCTGTATATGGGGTAAAAATGGGAGCTCATAACCCACTTGAATCAAATTGTGAAATATGATATATCAAGAACTATGTAATGTTTTGAACAGCCAACAATAAAAAATTAAAAAAAAAAAAAAGTATGTTCTAGGAATGGGCCTGTGGCCAGATGGGTTCAGAATGTCCTAATGAAAAACAGCAAAGAGCCAGGCATAGGGATGGGCCTCAGAACCCCCAGCACCCTCAAGTGGATTTATTTGCAGAAAGAATGTTTGTGTCCTTAGTGACCAGGGTAGACAGGGCTAGATCTACCCTACAATCCAGTTCTGATCTTTGATCCGAAGGGATTTTTTTGTGGGAGGGTTGAGGGGATTGGTACTGGGGATTAAACTCAGGGGTACTCAACCACTGAGCCACATCCCCAGCCCTATTTTGTATTTTATTTAGAGATAGGGTCTCATTGAGTTGCCTAGCACCTCGCTTTTGTTGAGGATGGCTTTGAACTATAGATTCTCCTGCCTCAGCTCCCAAGCTGCTGGGATTACAGGCTTGTGCCACCTTGCTGGCTCAGAAAGGAATTTTTAAAATGCCCCTCATAAGGACTATGGTAGTCAATCTCTTGTGGAGCTTCATCCAAAGGTTTTCTGAGTCTGATGGATTTACAAAGACATTTGATTGCATGGGTAATACTGCTAATGGTAGCATTCTTTGGAATTATACACGCCGAACAAATTACTGGTTATAAAAAAAAAAAAATGGTTTTGAGGAAGGCCTTGACTGTGGGCCTCACAAGTTCCTGCAGTCTGAATGCCCATGAACACAGAACCATGGATTCTTCCAATGGCTGAGACCTCTGTGCTTGTCTTGGATGGAAATGTTTTGTTGGGTCTCTGCCAACTCCCTTTGAGGGCTCCCTCTGAAACAGGTATTATATTTCACAGGATTGGTTTTGAGGATCACAAATGTTAATTTGCAGGACACCCAGCTTTCTGATTGACACATAACAGACATCCAACACATGAGCTGGGTGTATTACTTGTCCATCAGGAGAAATAAACTTTTAATAAGGGAGTCTCCACCTGTATTAGGGAGGCAGGTGCCATGCTGGGCCATGAGGTGAATTGGGACTGAGGTCACAGTCCATTCCTCAGAGGCACCTGTGGAGGGAGCCATGCCTTTGGCTGTAGGCTACATTGCCTCAACTTCTACTTCCTTCTTGGGCCCCCGTGATTCTGTGACCTTGGACATACCACCTACATTCTCTGTTCTTTATTATGCTCATTAATAGAGAAACCATCTAGTTTGCTTCTAATCTGGGATACCTGAGAGTAAAGGGGGCACTGTGACACTTACTCTGGGATGACAGGTATAAACCAGGCAGATACTGGCAGAAATTGAGCAAATCAGACCCAGTGGCCCCTGGACTCATCCATTATATGGTGACCAGTGCTATAGATATTGATGTTGCTTCATGTCTGAATCAAACCTGCTCCTTCAGTTTTCCCTTGGCATTTGCATAGAGCATATGAGCTATCATCTAATACTGCATGGAAAAAGGCATTTCTCTTTGAGTGCTGTTATCCTCAACTGTGACTACAGTGGCTCTTCCTGCTTTGTTTTTCACTTATGGTTCCTGTGGGGATTAACAGCATACACTATAGACCTAGGGAACAGGGAACTCAGCATTGCCTTCCCGCCTATGTATATACCTCAACCAGCATTCCCAAAGATGGGCACAGGCCTTGGATCTCAATAGAGGTATGGAGACCCCTGGAGGTCTGCACAGTTACCATGGGAGAAAGCTGTGACTCATTCTGCAAGCCAAGCCAGGAGACCCAGGGTTCTCAACAAACAACCATGAGTTACAGTTGTTAATAGCTGGTGTTTATAAATGTCTGGAGTGTCCATTTAACCTTCTATCTTTTTATACAAAAGTTCCAAAGAGGTCCACAATCTGCCAAGTTTATCTAGGCAAAGAGCAGAGAAGCTGGTGTTTACCCTCCAAATGTGTTGGACTTCAACCACCTCCTCCTTCTTCTTGGCTACCATTTCTCAATGTATGCATATGAGCTATGCAAGACAATTTTAAGTTATACACAAGATTTTTTGGTAAATAATTGTTTTATATTCACTTTAACTTGAATAGAAGAAGACCACAACTGACACACAAGACCTGCAACATTGTAGATATTACTGTTTAGGATCTAAAGTATCTATTTAGGAAATGGTCAACTTTGTGAAAATAGTAGAGTAATAAGGCCTCCTGAATAGTGCTGTTTGGTGACACAGGCCTCCTGAATAGTGCTGTTTGGTGTTCAAGGCCTCAATTTGGCTTTTAGTACCATGGCTGTGTGGCTCCAGCTACAGTGCAGTAGGCAGGTGCTTCTGGATCTGTGGTTTGAGTAGCTCTGTGTTCTGCTGCATGTAAGCTGTGCCACTTAGTCCAGCATGATTTTTCCTAAACTCAGAAAACTCTTCATGAAGTGACTGTGTGGCTCAGTCTGAAGTAGACTAAAAGCAAAATGAATCCCAGAACAATAGCTATTATAGTACTATAATTCTACTCAAATTGATCATGGCTACTGATCTGAATTCTGCCAACTCTATTGTTTATTGAGCCCAGAAAGTTTTCCAATCAATAACTGCATTACTCTGTGAATTGTAAAATGCAAATATTTCCATTATGCAATTTTTTAAAAGTATGCTCTTAATTACCACTTTCCCCATTTGGTCTGAGTTTTGTCTTTCAAGTCTCCTAAAACTTATGCACTTTTATAAATAGTAACCAATAGTTAGAATTTGTGTATATTTTCTCTAAGGTGCACAAAATCAAAACTAAGAGCCTATACATCTGTGCTTTTCAAATCAGGGTGTCTATATGGGACATGTGGCCAATCAAGATAACCACCTTGTGTCTTTCTACAGGATCTAATATTACATTATCTAGAAGGGGGAAAAGATTTTTGTATTACAATTACTTATGGAATTAGAATGCACAAGTCACATTAGCATTTGTAATAAAAATACAAGATTAGGCCATTTCAATGTCATGATTGAAGAAGTTTGATAAATTTTTATTAGTAAAAAGCATTGTGAAAAATAGAAAGCAGTACTCAAATGCAAATGTAGGTCATGATCATTATCAAGTTTCAGCCCTTTTCAGGGAAGTCAATTAGTCTCAGTCCTCAGCCATTTCCTCAAGTCCATCAGGTAGTTGAAATTGTGTAGATTGAGAAAGGTATGTTAATAATGACATATGAATTCTCCCAAAGAAAGAGGATTCTTAGAAGTCATCTGGAAAAGTCATTCTAGAACCCAAAGCCTCAGCTCAAAAGGCAGAATTCTGAGCTAATGACAGCCTTGTCAAAGAAGAAATTGTCAAATGGTTCTCCACTATCCCCTCAAATCATATCACAAGGAATCCTGCTGTGGATGGCTGGGCGGGATTACTATAATCAGTCTCCTGTGACATTTCTTTTGCTCTGATTTTCTGCTGTTTCTGTATTAGTTTGATAAAATATTTCAAGTGTCCTGCTTCCTACTGTCTTAGTCATACTTACTTTAAAGGTATTTTATTGCTTCAGTGAATTGTGCCAATATTCATATAGCTTTTATTTTATAAACAAAGCTAATATCTACTTATTTTATTAGCAATATATTAACAGTTTAGAGCAAAGAAATTACAATCCCATTTCCATTTCATACAATTAACCTAAGATGTCTTAAATATGCCTGCATACCTCACATTGCCTATTAGTAGAAAATGATTTCTAAATTAGATTAATTCTCAAGTTTTCATGGAAATAAATTATTATTGTATTTCAGCTCAAACTAATTACTTGTATCTCTGACCCCATTTCCTGTGGAAGAGATTTCCTAATACAGCTACATCACTTTGAGTCACACCTTGGATCTGTTTAGTATACATTTGAAACATAATTTCTGCAGTGCAATAACAGTAGCAACACTCATGTGTTATTAGAATAACTACTATTATATAAAATCCATATAGTAACTCATTAACTCCTCATCAGCCCTCTTTGAGACATGAAATATTCCTATCTTACACATGGGTAGATTAGATAACTTGGTCGTGATCACACAGCAGCCCATGTTCTTTCTATAGTGCCTCTCTCAAGTCTTACTTAATGCTAGTCCACCGAACACATGCTGCTCCACAATTTATATACATATGCTTATATTCTCAGCATGTCACAGAAAAAAACATGCTATATGAAAGCAATGATCTACTTAAAGTCTTACATTAATAGCTCATTAAAAAGAAAAGCTACTAATCCATCTATAAAGAATCGAAATAACGTATAATAAAACTTAACGCTTATCTCTTCTAATCACAATGGTTTGGAAACTGAATTTTATTTTCTTAGAACAGCATTGACATTCTTTCCACAACCATAAAGGAACTCTATTGTCAAATAAAATAAAAGTGAAGCACAAACCCTTTCCCCCAGAGTCATTTTAACTTTAGATTTTCCTTCACTATACTCAGAGATGGCCAATTTGAATCTCTGATTGCCTAAATACTGCTAGTACAGAAATGTGATATTTTAAGGATTTAGCCTACTGTCCTTCAATTCTCAGTAGTCACACTGAGATACCTCAGCCTGATCCCCCATCCCTGCCCCATACTGGGAAGGAACCCAGGGATTTGTGCATGACAGACATCTGCTCTACTGCTGAGCCACATGATCCCTCAGCTTTTGAGATAGGGTCTTTGTTAAGTTGCTGAGGCTGACATTGAACTTAAAATCCTCCTGCCACAGCCTCTGGATTGCAGGAGTATGCCACCATCCCCTGTGTCTAGCACAATCTTTGCAGAGTTCTTTTAATATATTCAGCAGCAAAAATAGAAACTTAGCCCTAACCTATTTCAATTTAGAAGTGAAAATTCAAAGAAAGTCGAAAAAATTCAATTTAAGTAAGATTTATTGTGTGCCTATAGTGTGCATGGACCTTTATTAGACACATTGAAATTCAGGCACAAGATAGACACAAGATCCCTGACCTTAGGTACCTTATGATCTAATTAGTATAATACAGATTAGAAACAGTAGACAGACAAGTTACATGTCAACACTTAATTGTTAAAATCAACATTAAAGGGCTGTAATTTAAGTAATCAAAAATGGCATCTAATCCTAAAATTATTTATAAAAGGTATTTGGCGTCAGAATCCACAGCACTTCAAACAAGGTAAGTTCCACTGCAGATCAATACACAAAGATTCAAACACACTGAAACACTTGACAGCACTATGAATGACTTTTGTTATTTTGGATCTTCTGTTTTCTTCTTATTATGGTCCGAAGCCTCCGTAATACCAATTTATCAGACAGAAGCATGTCATCTTGTTGTTCTAGATAATCCAGTAAGTTTTCGGTCCATTCAAGTGCAGCTTTATGACTAATAAGTTTTTCTGGGTTCAGTTCTGCTTTTTTAGTTTTACTGGAAGGCTTTTGCTCCACAGGCTTGGCCTGGTCCTCGGCACCTTCACTGTCAGTTAGCACCTGACAGCTTGAGTCATTACTCCGAGAGTCAAACCACTGATTAATATTCTCAATGTCAACATGTTCACAGTCTTCTGTGTTCTGTAAAACTGTTGCCAAGTTAGCTGCTAAAATGGCTCCTTCATCAATGTTCATAACTGAATTTTCTTCATTACCAGGGAAAAGTTTTTTCCATGCTTTGGTTATGGTACTTGATTTTATCATGTTCCAAGCTCTTGACACTTCATAAATTGCATCCAACACTGTCAAATTCTTCCAAAACATTTTTGGGTCAATACCTTCATCCATGTATTTCTGGAGAAGTCCTGCTCGATAGTATCTTTTTACTGTGGCTAAAACTCCCTGGTTCATTGGTTGAATTAGACTTGTTACATTTGGTGGCAAATATTTCACAATTATTCTGCCATCATCTGAACTCAACAGCTCTTCATTTGGATGTGCTGGGGGGAAATCTAAAAGAAGCACTGCTTTTTCGAGAAGCCCCTTAGATTTCAAATGCTTCTGTACTTGTGGCACAAAATATTTCTCAAACCACTGTCTGAAAACAGACTGTTCTATCCATGCACCTTTTTGACTGAAGTAAGTGACCGGAAGGTTTGAAAGATCAGTTCCTTTGAATGCACGGGGTTTTTTTGCTTTCCCCACAACACAAAGGTTAAGTTTGTGTAAACCTGTGGCATTTGCACAACACATAATAATGATTCTCTCTCTGCTTGACCTATACTCAGAAGTACTTTGCTCAGAGTCAAGAGCTAATGTCCTTGATGGAAGGCATTTCCAGAACAATCCAGTTTGATCAGCACCATAAATTTGCTCTGGCTGTAGATTCTCTCTCTCAACAAATTCCTGAAAATTACCACAAAATTCACTGGCAGCAGTTTCATCTCCTTTTAATTTTGTTCCTTTCCCAGCAGCCTTTGGAATACCATGGCGCTGCTTAAATCGAGTTAGCCAGCCAGATGATGCATTAAAATCACCTTCCATCCCCAAAGCATCAAAAAAGAACTTGGCTTGTTTTGCACAAATAGTTCCAGACACTGGAATTCCATCTGTTTTCTGTTGGTTAAACCACTCTATCATAACCCTATCAAGTTCCTCATATGTTGATGACTTCATAGATTTACGTTTGGATACCCCACTTATAGGATCTGAACTGTTAGCATAGTTTATAATCCTTTCTTTGTTCTTTTTAATATCACGAACTGTGGATTCACCAATTCCATATACCACAGAAAGTTTTTTGAAAGAGATACCTTCTTCAAGTTTCTTAATGATGTCAAGCTTGTCCTTAATTGTCAACACCACACGCTTACGTTTCCCTAACATTTTAAGTGTCTAATATTTCAGGTGATTACTGGAACAAGATAATTAACAACTTAAATTTGAATACAGAGATTTCAATATGGAGCATTAGATCCCTCCTCTGCCCTGAAGACCTAGAGTAACCACCAATTTTCTGACAAGGTCTACAGCAACCTCTTCACTTTCATTTTAAAACAAAGTTCTTACAACAGGGAACGCTCCAATTAACCCTACCTTCCTCTTAGTTTGAAGTCTTTTCATGAACTGCAATCTTACTGGAGGTTAGAAGTTGAACCAAAGCTACACTACAAGGTCTCTAAAACAGTCCTCTTAAACACTTAACAGTTGCCATCATTACAGAGAAGGTTTTTCCCTAAAGCACTAAGACTGAGGTTGCGGTATTTTGGGATATGTGCAAGAAAATAAACGCAATATAGGACTTGCAAACTTGACATACAGGAAAAAACAATGGGAAAACTCATTCCCTCACTGTGTTGTCTTAGTAGGGCAATGGACTATAAGGGATGCTCTTTTCCAGTCAAGGATTGCTATAGGTTACATAGGGGAGTGCTTATGAAAAATCGTAGCAAGTTAAGGCAAGCTGGACAAAAGAGGTGCAAATGAGGTGAAAGTGGACAAGCAGAAAACTCTGTACTTTAACTCAACACAAACTTACACCTAATGTAATTTGCTATTGGAAAGGGGAAAGGTGGGCAAGAGGTAATGCCTCGTGATTAAAGAAAGCATCAAAAAACTTCATGGGTAGAAATCAGGACCCAAGGTAGAGGCTGTGGGGTGGAAAGCTCGGTGAAGATGTTACAATAGTCCTGGTGAGAGATGATCCTCCATGGGCCAACAGAAGTTCCTGTGAGGGCTGTATGGGTACTCGCAGCCTCTGAAACCTAAAGGAAAATACCAAAAACATTTCTCTTTTCAGTATCGGGGTCTGTGGCATTACCCACACCTACCCTGCAACTATGTTGAGAAAATTAACACCTCCTATCAATGTGATAGCTAAATGCGACAAATAATGCTTTTAGGCATTATCTGGGTTGACCGAGAGGGACCTCAATAGCCTACCTCCTGAAATTAAGAGGTCAGAGGGAAGCCTTGTTAGCCAGGGCCTCTCCCCGCCGCGCGAGCTCCGGAGCGCGGGACGTCTTTCCTCCCGCGGAGGGAGCCCGGATTCTGCCTGGACGCGGGCGACCAGGGTGTCACCGCCGCGGCCAGCCAGCCGGTGAGCAGCCGCTTGGCGCAGAGGACGCCAGTTCGCCGACTGCGGGCATCGCTCTCCGCCTGCCTGCACGGCGGCCAGCTCGTGCTGAGAGCAAATGGAGTCTCCCGAAGGAGGTTGACACCGGTGGCGCGGCGGCGGCGGCAGCGAAAGGCGAGCGTGGCTGCCGGAGCCGGAAGGCGGGGGATTAGGGAGCACGCGCGCGCCCCCGCAGGAACGTGTGTCGGCGAGAGGTGGGGCCTGGCGGGCGAGCGCGCGCGGCCCGGGGCGGGGACTCGGCGAGCGGGCGGGAGTGGGGGGCGGGACTCGGACTCCGCGCGACGCTGCGTGGGTTCGGCAAATGGTCCGGTCTTTGCGGGCTGCGGGCGGCTGGGTTGGCCAGAAGGGGGCGGTACGAGCTCGCCCTGTCTTGGCGCTTTTACCAATGGCCAGGCTCTGCGGGCGAAGCTTCCATCTCTCGCATCGGGAATAAAACTCGCACCCTTTGCGTTCGAGTAAGAAAGCGACGCATCCTCCGGCTCTGGCACGAGCTGTGAATGGGGGAGGGCGGGCGCACGTGGAGAGTGTTTACAAACAGCCTCCGCCACCGCCCTCCGGAAGGAGTGACAGTATCCGCGCCTCCCAAAGCCCCCTCTGGGGAGCCGCGTGCCCACCTACCCCGCAGGCTGCCCGCCAGAAATGGACAAGAAGCAGCCGGAATCCTGAGGCACGGTGAGGAGAGCGGGCGCGGCTGCTGGATGAGGTCGGGTGGGCTGGGGTGGGGACAGGATTTGGGAGAGGAGCTGGGGCTTTTACTCTGCAACATCCAACCAAACAAGCCAGGATGGATGGAGAGCAGCGCTCGAGCTGATTGTCGTGTGTCCTTTCCCTGGTGGGTGCTCTTAGACCTGGCAGCAGCCGGTACACGTGTTAACCTGTGGGACGCAGCGGCGTGAATTTGCTGCAGCCCCTTTACACCCACTGTGTCTCAGTTGTAACCAGGGAATTGCATTTTGCTAAAGACTGGATTTATTGTTTCCACGGAGATACTTGCAGCGTCGCCAGAACCTTCCCTGGATAAGGGAGCGGTTGCACCTTCATCCTGCAGCACCTGTTTACGGAGGAAACGCAGTTTGCCTGCCTGTGCCCGACCCCTGGTAAAATAGTGTGAAAAGTGCAAGAGTCTTCTGTTAAGATTTTTTTTCCCCCCCAACATCCGTGCGTAAGTATCGAACCTCTGCGTTAACACAAAGTAACGTAGTATCTCGTCATGTATTTGACCAGGCAACATTGTTGCTAGAATTTCGGAACTCACCGACGGAAATTCAACTGAGCATTCCTACTGCAGAAAAGAGATGTTGGTTCCCAGTCTTTTGACTCCCACGCCGAAACTGCACAATTGCCTTCTTCAGAATAGCAGCTTTACACTCTCTGGCGCGACAGAAATTCACTCATCTTCTACGTCGAAAGTGAGGCTATAAGTGGCTTTTGACAAATATCTGCTTTTCCTAAAGATAGACCTCCCTTCGACCCCCCTCCCCCAATCCGACTCCCACTTAGCTTCCAACCAACCAGTCCTATTCTGGCAATTCTCCTTGGCTATTTTGGGTAAAGTCTAACTTTATAGTAGTTTTATGTCATATTTTTTAAAGTTTTCTTTTCCCTGCTATTTGTAAGGAGCGTGAAAGACTTTTATCTGATCATTCCTCATAAGGGAAGAGCGCTGACTTTCAGACTGCCAATCATGTGGAAATGAGGCAGCAAGCAAGCAGATGTCACCTTCCTGGCATTCCCCTCACCCTCCAGCCTATGGGGTCACTCTGTCCTATGATATTTAAATAAAAATAAATTTGCCATTTATCCACATCCCCTACTATCTCTAGAGTTTAATTTTGTTCCAGATATTTTGCATATCTCTGTTTCTCCTGAATTCTGCAGCTTGCTGGTGTTTTATGACTTATAGCTGTTCCCTTTTCTTTGCCTTCTGTTAAGTTCCAATTTGGATACAGCCTACATCTTTTGGTCCTCAGGTCACCCCCAACATCACTTCACTTAAAGCAATTATCTTTAGCAGATTTTTCCTAAGACCTTATCTAAGGCAGTTGTGTTAAAGGAGCTACTTTCATCTGATAAACTTTCCGGGTTTTGCTAGGGGAATAGGTTGCTAATTGTGGCCAACTTAATGTTAGAGTGAGGTGCAGTTAAAATGGAATGTTAAGAATGGATTTTCAGGGTGGTGAAAATACTTTGGATGATGCTGTAGTGATGGATACATGTCATAATATATAATATGTTTGTCCAAATGCACAGAATTTAACAGGCTTATGTTTCTCATAAGTTCTAAATTTTCTGCTGAGATATATCAATGCACATACATTGTACATAGTCTTTTATCAGTGGTATTCTTCATACAAAATAGTTTTATAATGGAATAAGATATCTCTAGTTAGAATAAATTCTTAGTTTTAAGGGATTGCATTCTTGTTTTCCATTTTCTTTATCATTGATCCCATTTATTTGGAAGTTTTTGTTCCATGATACTGAATTACTGATTAATTACTACTAATAAGTAAAAACACGAATTTTTTATGATATTAATATTCCATGTGTATTAAACCTATTTAATATCATCAAATAGTACATATGTGTAGCTAAAAAGTTTACTGCCAATTGAAAATCAGTGGCTTGCTTTAAAAAAGAAAGTTACTGTTGTCTGCTTTCAGTGACATATAATATTGAGGGGAATTTTCCAGTTAAAATATAATTTATTTTTCTTTTGGAGAGTGTGTTTGTGTTTTCAAATGAGCCGGATATGAACCATTTCTCACCAGTAAAATGAAGGCTTGTTATTTAAATTCTTTCAACTCTGAAGTTATCTTACTTTAGATTATAGAATAAAAGCCCAAAATGTTCATTTTTAATATAAAAATATTATTTTGAATGGTTAAAAGTAGGAACACTTTTCTATTTGAAAGTTTCTGGATGCAGGTCAGATTACTCATTGGAAAATCCCAGACTTTTTTTTTTTTTTGGCGGGGTGGGGTGGGGGAATAACCGGGATTGAACTCAAGGGCACTTAACTACTGAGCCACATATCCAGTCCTATTTTTTGTATTTTATTTAGAGACAGGGTCTCAATGAGTTGTTTAGCACCTCTCTTTTTGCTAAGGCTGGCTTTGAACTTGTGATCCTCCTGTCTTAGCCACCCAAGCCACTGGATTACAGGCATGTGCCATCCTGCCTGGCCTGGACTTGGGTTTTGTGTGTGTGTGTGTTTAATGTTGATAACAAAATGCTATTGAAAGATAGTGAATTCTTTTGTTCTTTTTAAATTTCAATTTATTTTTAACTAACATGAAAACAAAAATTGAACATGTTAATGGGGTACCATGTGACATTTCCATACGTGTATATATTGTATAATGTTTTATTCAAATCAACTCTCTCTCCTCAAACATTTGTCCTTTCTTTCTTCTCCCCTTCTCTAGTGCTGAGGATCCAAGTGCTATACCACTGAGCCATACACCCAGCCCCTATTATTTCTTTATGGTGAAAACATTCAAAATCCTCTCCCTTAGCTTTTTTAAAATACATAGTACACAATTATTTATAGTTACCTTATTGTGCAATAACACATCAGAATTTCTTACTTCCATATAACTAACTTAATACTCACGGATTAACCTTTCCCCATCTCTTCCTCCCACCTATTTTCTCCAGCTTCTGGTAGCCACCATCCTGCACTCAATTTCTAGGAGATCAACTTTGTCCCACCTATGTGTGAGATCTTATGGGACTTGCTCTTTATGCCTGGCATATTTGACTTAACGTAACGATCCTCAGTTTCATCCAAGTTGTTGCATCTGACAGGATTTCATTCTTTTTTATAGTTGAAAATAATCTCATTATGCATATGTACCACATTTTCTTTTTTCATTAATCAATTGACAGACATTTCTTGGCTATTGTGAATAGTGCTACAGTGAACATGAGAGTGAAGATATCTCTTTATTTTTTTGGTATGAATCCAGAGGTGAGGTTGCTAGATCATATGGTAGTTCTATTGTTGTTGTCGTTTTTTGAGAAACCTTCATACAGTTTTTCACAATAGCTGTGCTAACATATTTCCACCAAGAGAGTTGAAGTTTGCCCTTTTATTCACATCCTCAACAGCATTTATTATCTTTAGTATTTTTGATAATAGCCATTCTTACTGGAGTAAGGCAATATCTTATTATGGTTTTGATTGACATTTCCCTGATGATTATTAAGCATTTTTTCATATATCTGTTGGCCATTTGTATGTGGGGTTTGTTTATTTGGAGGTGCCAGGAATTGAACCTAGGGGTGCTTAACCACACAGAGCCATATTCCCAGCACCCCCCCCCCCTTTTTTTTTTTTTTTTTTTTTGAGATAGGGTCTTGCTAAGATGCTTAGGACCTCACTAAACTGCTGAGGCTAGCTTTGAACTTGAGATCTTCCTGCCTTAGCTCCCAAGTCACTGGGATTACAGGCATTCCCTACTGCTTCTGCTGTATGTCTTCTTTTGAGAAATGTCTGGTTAGGTCTGTTACCTTTGTTACATTGGGTTGTTTTTGCCATTGAATTTCCTTATATATTTTTAATATTAACATCTTCACAGATGCATAGTTTGCAAATATTTTCTCTATTCTGAAGGTTGTCTCTTCACTCTGTCCATTGTTTCCTTTGCTATGCAAAAGAAGCTTTTTAAGTTTGATGTAATCCTATTTGTCCATTTTTGCTTTTGTTTCCTGTGCTTTTGAGGTCTTGTCCAAAATACCCTTGGCCATTGCAATGTCCTAAAGCATGTTTTCTTCCAACAGTTTCATAGTTGCAGATCTCACATTTAAATTTTTAATCCATTTTTGGTTGATTTTTATGACTGATGAGAGGTAGGGATCTAGTTTCATTCTTCTGTGTGTGGACACTCAATTTTCCTAACACCATTTATTGAAAAGACTGTTCTTTCTCCAGTGTGTATGCTTAGCTCCTTTGTCAAAAATCAGTTAACTGTAAATGTGTGGGTTTACATCTAGGTTGTTTAATATGTACCATTGATCTGTGTGTCTTTTTTTATGTCACTACTGTGCTATTTGGATATTATAGCTTTGTAGTATATTTTAAAAGAAGATAATGTAATGTCTACTGCTTTGTTGTTTTACTAAAAATTGTTTTGGCTCTTTGGATGTGTTGGGGGGGGGTTATTTCATGCAAATTTCAGGACTCTTGTGAAGTTCTATGAAGAATGTCATTGATATTTTGATATAGATTGCATTTGATTGATACAATGCTTTGGGAAACATAGGATTCAGCAACATTAATTGTTCTGATTCATTATCATAGGATGTTTGTCCACTTTTGTGTCCTCTTCGATTTCTTTTATCAATGTTTTATAATGTTCATTGTAGAGTTCCTTCATCTCTTTTGTTAAATTTATTCTTAGGTATTTTGTCTTATTTTTTTGTAGCATTGCCCATAGGATATCTATTGTGATTTCTTTATCTGATAATTCCCTATTAGTATATAACAACTAATATTTATACTTCTGATTTTTTGCATTGATTTTTACGACCTGTAACTTTGCTATATTTATTAGTTTGGGTAAGTTTTGGGGTAGGGTGAGTCTTTGGGGTTTTCTACATCATGTCATCTGCCACAGTGTGAATTTGACTTCCTTCTTTCCACTTTGGATGATCTTTATTTCTTTCTGTTAGTTGCTCTGGCTAGGACTTCCAATACTGTATTTAATAAAAGTGGTGAGAATGGGCATTGTTGTCTTGTTCCAGATCTTCAGAGCCTTCAGATTTTGCCCATTCAGTGTAATGTGGACTGTAGTTTATGGCTTTATTATGTTGAGGTGTGTTCCTTCTGAACCTAATTGTTACACATTTTTACCATAAAGAAACATTAAAATTTATAAAAATTCCTTTTCTGTATCTATTAAGATGATCATATGGTTTTTGACCTTCATTCTCTTGATGTGGTGTGTCATGTTTTATTGATCTGCATATGTTGAACCATCCTTGCATCCCTGGAATTATTCCCATTTGATCATGATGAATAATCTTTGTAATGTGGTGTCAGATTCTATTTGTTGGCATTTTGTTGAAAATTTTTGCGTTTATGTTCATGAAGGATGTTGACCTATAGTGCTCTTTTTTTGTCCTTATTGGGTTTTGGTATCTGGATAATGCTGGCCTCATAAAATGTGTATAGAAGTATTTTCTTCTCTGCAACTTTTTGAAATAATAAGATGTGATATAATTTTTAAAAAAATATTTTGAAATTTTCTTTTCACTGTATGTGGGATACTATACCTTTATTTTATTTTTATGTGGTGCTAAGAATTGACCCCAGCACTTCACATGTGTTAGGTGAGCACTCTACCACTGAGCCATAACCCCAGCCTCTTATATTTACTTTTTATTGGTTCTTTTAGCTATACATGACTTTAGAATACATTTTAACATAATTATACAAGCATGGAATATATCTTGTTCTAATTTAGACCCCAGCCCCTATGTTTAATCTTTTGAGGATTTATTTTTCTAAAGCAGCTAGTTGCATTTTATATTTTTACAAACCATATCTGAGGATTCCATTTCTCTACATTCTCATAAACACTTATTGTGAAAATTATAGCCATCCTAGTGGTTATAAAAAAGTATCTCATTTTTGTTTTGATTTTCATATTTCTGATAGCTAATGATATTGAATATTATGTGCTAACCATTTGCATATTTTGGAGAAATGTCTATTTAGATCCTTTGCCCTCTTTTTAAAATATTTGGGTTTTATTAGGGTTATAGTGTTACGGTGAGGTACAAGAAATAATTTTCTGAGGAGT